AAAGTAAACACAGGTCTTGATATGGAGGTGGCACAAAATCGCCCACTCCTAATTGAAAGATTTATCACCCAAAGTGCCCCAGACATAAAGAAAAAGTTACAATGCACAGAAGGGGCATTATGGAAGAATATAGCAGAGATCATGGAAATAACTCAGAAAGTGTTTCGTAACCATGAAAAGGAAGAAGAATGTAAGTCAGATCAGGAAGAAAAAAGGAAGGTTGAAATGTTAGCAGTGGCCTTGGGGGGAATGCGTATTGGACCCAACCAATGTGCCATCTGTAAACAGGAAGGACACTGGCAGTGCCCCCAGAGGAATGACCAACCTAAGGGACAATCTCGCCAGTATGGAAGAGAACAAGGAAGAGAATTTAGAGGGACCTTCCAAAGAAGTTATAGGGGAAGCAGGCGTCCAGCCTATCCCAGTCAGATGGAAGAAAGAGAAGAAAACATGATCGGCTTAGGCGACATGGAATGGGGAGACTGAAGAGGACCGGGTTCTATGGTCCCACCCCTGGAGCCCATTGTTAAAATATGGGTGGGAGGACAGATTGTCACAATTTTAGTTGATACGGGAGTCACCAGATCGGTCCTAAATAAATCTATTGGCAAACCATCAAACCAGACAATCCAAATTCAGGGAGTATCCGGAGAAACTCAATTTCGACTACTCCTGGAACCCCTAACATGCCAAGTGGGAAAAGGAATCATTAAACATCAATTTTTATATGTCGCAGACTGTCCAGTCCCATTATTGGGAAGAGACTTGCTAAATAAGTTAAAAGCAACTATTTCCTTTGACAATGGGAAGCAATTAATTCAAGTGCGCTACCCAGTGGAAGAAATATGACGCTTGATGATAGTGACAGAAGAAGAAGTAGAAAGTACTAAGTGACAACAATTTAATGTCCCACTCATGTGGGCAGAGGATAACCCCCCTGGATTTGCGAAATATGCCACGCCTGTTATGGTGGAACTAAAACCACAAGCATATCCTGTTAGAGTGCCTCAACGATACTGTACTTCAGAGGCTGCTATTGCCATTCAAGAATTAATCCAAAAATACTTGATAGCAAAAATCATTAGAAAAATTCAGTCACCCTGGAATACTGCAATTCTATCTGTTCGTAAGCCTGATGGACAGTGGAGACCAATGCAAGATCTCTGCCCCATTAATAAATTGACCTTAACCCTACACGCAACTGTTCCTAATCCATATATTCTTTTAAGTACAATACCTGCATCCGCTAAATGGTTTTCAGTTGTTTTAAGTTGTTTTTCACCATACCTTTAGCTGAGAATTGTCAGCCGATCTTTGCATTTGAATGGGATAATCCAAAGACAGAAGTTAAGACTCAATATACCTGGACTAGACTACCACAAAGCTTTAAGAATTCACCTACGTGTTTTGGTCAAATTTTAGCCCAAGATCTTGCATATTTGAAGTTAGTCAGACAAGAGGACTGTTGCCTTCAATATGTGGATGATGTTCTGATAACTGGACAAAACAGGGAGGATTGCTTTGAAAACACATCCAGACTGCTCCGAATGTTACAAGACTGTGGCTACAGAGTGTCCAAAAGGAAAGCACAATTAGTTCAAATGACTGTAATGTATTTAGGCTATGAACTATCACAAGGACAAAGAACTCTGGGCCCCCAGAGAAAGCAAGCTGTGTTACAGATTCCCATCCCCCAAACAAAACAGGAAGTTAGAGCCTTTTTGGGAATTAAAGGCTTCTGTAGAATTTGGATTCCTAACTTCGCTCTCACAGCTAAACCACTGTACCAAGTTTTAAGAGAACCAGAAAAGGAACCCCTTTTGTGGCAACAAGATCAGACCCAAGCAATGAAACACCTTTAACAAACCCTTACCACAGCGCCGGCTCTAGGACTACCTGATATATCTAGGTCATTTTCACTTTATGTCAATGTGAGACAGAATGTGGCTTTAGGAATCCTTATCCAAAACCAGGGAAATTGGAATCGCCCAGTTGCTTATCTGTCAAAACAATTGGATATGATGGCGCAAGGATGGCTGCAATGTTTAAAAATTCTAGCAGCAGTTATGCTGTTACTACAGGAGGCAAATAAGTTAACCTTTTCTGCTCTGGTGGCTGTTTGTACTAGTCATGCCCTGCAGACGATTATTGACAATAAGGGACATTTATGGATTAGCAATCAAAGGATGCATAAGATACAGGCTCTTTTAGTAGAAAATCCACAAGTTACACTGCAACAGTGCTCTACTCTCAATCTGGCCACTCTTATGCCAATACCAGATTCAACTATGCCCGCGCATAACTGCATGCAAACAATAGAACTACAATATTCTTGCAGACCTGACCTTACGGACCAACCATTGCATTATCCAGACTTTCAGTGGTTTACTGATGAATCCAGCTTTATGGATCAAGGAATTAGATACTCTGGTTATGCAATTGTTTCTCAAACTGCAACTGTAGAATCAGCACAATTACCTAGCCAAGCAAGTGCGCAATTTGCAGAATTATATGCCCTAACCCGAGCATTAGAAATAGCTGCAGGAATGATTTTAAATGTATATACGGACAGTAAGTATGCATTTTTGACAATTCATGCACATGCAGCAATCTACAAAGAAAGAGGAATATTTGGACTCCACAGGCAAGATCATCCAATATGCAACTTTGATTAAAAGACTTATTAAAGCAGTCCAATTGCCTTCTAAAGTTGCAATCATCCATTGTCCTGGACATCAAAAAGACTCAAGCCTTATTACCCAGGGCAATAGGAAGGCAGACAAAGAAGCCAAGAGAGCTGCGTTAGAAGGCCCCCCCTCCAGTCGGATGTCACCAGGTTCATGTATTTAGACACTTACTTAGAACAACTTGATCCTACATATACGAAAGAGGAAAGTCAAAAGATGAAGCAGGATGTACAAGCCGAACTGGTTAAAGGCTGGTACACCCTTCCCGATGGACACATTGCTGTTCCTCTTGCGCTTGCCCGCCCCCTTATTTTTCAGGTCCATAAGCTACATCATTTGGGAAAAACTGCATTATTACAGCAGCTTGAACAATTTTTCTATCTTCCCTTTGCTTCTTCGCTAACAGCCCAAGTATGTTCTCAATGTTCCATTTGTGCCCAAACCAATGCACGCCAAGGACCGGTAGTACCGCCTGGCCAACAACCAATCGCTTATTTTCCAATGGACTATGTCGTTGTTGATTTTATTGATATGCCTAGGAGTAAGAAATATGTAGCCCTGTTAGTTATAATCGATACCTATTCAGAGTGGATTGAGGCCTTTCCGACTGTAAATAAGAAAGCTATACAGGTTGCCAGAATCTTTCTTAAAGAAATTATTCCTAGATTTGGTTGCCCTTCTAGGATTTCATCAGATAAAGGCCCTGAGTTTGTACACCAAATTAATAAGGCTTTAGCCCAGGCATTAGGAATTAAGTGGAGATTTCATTGTGCTTTTCACCCCCAATCGGCTGGTAGGGTGGAACGTGCTCATCGCACAATTAAAACCCTTATTACCAAATTTTGTTTGGAAACTCATCTCCATTGGCCAGACGTTTTGCCCATGGTTTTGTATGCAATCAGACTGGCCCCCTGCACTAAATTACAACTTAGCCCTTATGAGCTCATGTTTGGCCTTCCCCCTTGTCTATTTAAACCTGACAGTCAGGGCTGGCTGGACTTGGCTCATAATGGGAGAATAGACCAACAGAAATTGTTACATCAGTTACAGCTTCATAATTTAGCTGTTTCAAATTTGCGCCATTATATGATGGAACAACAACCCCCTCCAGTGGTCACGGCAACACATGGGTTCAAACCAGGAGATAGAGTATGGATAAAACACTGGAAATCAGATCCCTTGAGCCCAGGACTATGTACTGTTGTCATGTGTTCTCCTTTGGCAGTGAAAATCTTGGAGGGAAAGTCCTGGGTCCACTGGAGTAGATTAAAAGTAGCTGCACCTGCCGATCCAGTAACTTACAAGGTGGATAAAACTGACAAACCTTTCGTGATAAAATTTACAAGAAATACACCCTGTTGAACCCTACCGGCAACGGGTTCTCAAACACGGTGTGAACATCAGACCTTGCTGAGATACTCCGGAAGCTGTCTCTAACATGGTGGAAGACATGAGGATTCTACAGCTCATAATATTTGTTGGCCAAAGAAGGAGGGGTATGTGGAAAATTCAACCTAACAAACTGTTGCATCGAAATAGATGAAAGTGGAAAAGTATTGAAGGACATAACAGACAAAATGGTCAAACTAGCTCACGTTCTGGAAAGGATTTAATTTGGAAGCCAAATTTTCAGGATGGTGGCCAAAGTTACCAGGCCTACAAACCATCATAGTTATAGCAGTCTTAATTAATTCTAGGATGTATTTTGATTCCCTGCTTACTCCTCTGTGTTGTAGCAATGATTCGAAGGATCTCAGAAAGTACAGCCCAATTAACTGCAAAACATGAAACAATGTTAGCTTTATGGGAATATAAAATGTTGCCCCCTAAAGATCCTGAATTGGAGATAGAATAATGGAAGTTTAAGTAGGAAAACTTCAAAAGGGGGGAATAATGTGGAATAATATACGATCACTAGAATAATGATGTGTCTGCATAATTACTGGAATAATGCTGTGTTAGTAGTATATGACTAACCTAATGTGCATTGCATTTGGAAACAATGTATGTAGCAAACTCTCCATTGTATACCTGTGAAAAACAAACTTAATGTATTACAATGTGTATTTCAATGTGTATTCCTTTGTTCCTGAGAAAAGGGAAGTATAAAACTGAAGTCTGAACCCGCCCTCGGGGTTCAGAATTGCTAGCTGCTATTGCTTCTGAACTTGCGCAATAAATCTCTCTGCTAAAACCCTCTGGAATTCGTAAGAGTCCTTTCGTTTTCCACAAGACAGTTGCCCACTTGTGTCTGTATTTATATTTATACATTGCTCTAATATGTATTCACAAAGTGCTCTTCTCTTTGCCTAGAGTATGGAGGCAATTCAGGAGGAAAACCCTGTGTCTTTCCCTTTGTTTATATGAGTCATGTTTACTACACCTGTGCAGGCAAATCTGACCGTAAAGGGCCATTCTGGTGCTCTACGACTGGGAACTATGATAAGGATAAGAAATGGAGCTACTGTGCTGATACCAGTAAGTGAAATTGAGGACTGTTAGATTAGAAGTCATGGTTTATGGTAAATTAAAACCTTTTATACAGAATATCCATTTCTGGTTTGTGCTGACCATCAACAATTATAAGGAACTTGCATGTAAAATAGAACAGAAAAGGTCAAATGTACAGCTTTTTTCATATATAATAAAGCAAATCAAAGATACAGTAAATTTAGATATTTTGGGGAGATAGAACTTTGTTATCATTCAATGGACAGTTGTGTAGTATAAAATGAAGGGGTACAATTAAGGCCCTGGTTCAGCCAAAAATAAATATTTTTTCCCATTAATCTCAAATTTTCCTTAATAGAATTAATGTTTTGGATATAAACTTGCATGCTATTATCTATAGTACTAACGGACTTACCTCTGAGTAGATTTGCTGAGGGTTACACTTAAAAAAAATACTCAAACTGTATTAATTGATGGACTTTAATAGTATGACAAATGATCATTCTCCTTTTCTTCACCTTCTTCCAGGACTTGATGCAAATTATCCCACTAATCCATGCATCTTTCCTTTTATCTTTGAAAATAATCTTTATTCATCCTGTACAACAGATGGAAGATCTGATGGAAGGCTTTGGTGTTCTATTTCAAGTAATTTTGATATTGAGCCTATGTGGGTATACTGTGAGCCTTCAGGTAAGCAAAACAGACAATGGAAGTAACCAGACAAAGCATGGATGTAACTTGAATCCACGTTTTGTGAAAAAAGACAAGCTTTGGGAAGAAGAATTGTTTAATAGTCAAGAAACAATCCATCTCATGGCTGTGGGAGTTGTAATAAAAAAAATCTATTGGTTACCATATAACCTCCCTATTATTAAATCTCCCTTCTTCATGTGTTTTGGTTCCAGTAGCTACCTATTTTTATGCCTGCTTTTCTATGTGTTGTAGGGGAAAAATGAGGGGTCCAACTTTGGACCTAAGTTGTATGTAATATTTAAATATCTGTACTGCAATTCAGCAGAAAGCAAGTCAAGTACTTGGAATTCAAATGCATTAAAGTAACAATATGCTAAGAAGTGAAAAAGCTAATAGCTAAAATGCAAGAGTAACCACTAAGAATTCAAAATTTTTAAGCAGTGACTAAATAACAATTTAGATCTTTTGTTTTTTCCATAGGAAAGTGTCAAGATTAATCTTATCAACTAGAGCAGACATGTCAAATTTGTGACGTCATGTGACGTCGTGTGACATATCGGGACTGTTTTGCCATTGCCGGCAATGGGGTGGGCAAGGCTTCCATGTGACGTGTCTGGCCTGCGGGCTGGCAGTTTGACACCCCTGAACTAGAGTGATAACATTATGGCCTACCTCATAATTAATGAGTATTTGTAATTATCATGTGACAATTAAATAAAGATAAAATCTGAATAAATCTATAAAGAGGGTTTGTAATTCCCCCTTCTTTAGATTCCGTTTCCTGGCCTAGGGTACTTCACCTATCAATAAACAAATCTACACTTCAATTGTATGTTAGTTTCTTGTTCAAAAATATTCCTTTGGAAAATGCTGTTTCAGTATTGTGTTCTTCATTTCCATGCCACAGTATGGCAGCAATGTGGTTTCTAATCCTTTATTTACATTACTTACTATTTTGCCCTAATGTGCATTATGTACAGAATTTGAACATTTGATCATTTCCTTTTATATCTGAAAAGAATATTTCTGACTACAGAATGAAGTTAATCCTGTTCATCCTTAATGCTCATACCAATCCTTTTCTTACATTGCTTCAATCAAAGCTTCTTCCTCTTTGCTGGGTTTCCTCTATAGATCCTGCCCCTTGTAGTTTCCCATTCATATACAGGAACAAATCCTATTATTCCTGCATCACAGATGGGATTTTATTCAATCAGCTATGGTGTGCCACAACGACAAACTACGATAACGACAGAAAATGGAAATCATGCTCCCTTCAAGGTAAGGGAGCAAGAAGCAATTGCCTGGCACACTTGTGGGTGATCTCAAATCCTCTCCTTGTCTGGAGAGGAATTATTGAAGAGCCAGTCTACTCACTGGCCTTTCCTTCAGATGCACTTTTTGTGGAGACATTTCAGTGTGCCATTCTTCCCCAGAAGCCCAGCGAAGTGTTAAAGATCTATACTAGATGTTCTCCTGGATATTGGGATAGGATGTCAAATGGACTGTTTAATGTTTTTCTTGGGTTTGTTGGGTTACAAGTCGCAAGCACTCTTTAGCTTTATATTGTTATTGGGCTATTCAGTTCTTGTTTGTTGTGTTTTTTTTAATCAATTAGCCACCTGAAGTCACAGATATGGGTTGGATGGACATATGAATCGACATAAATAAGATTTTTCCTTTAATCCCTTTCCCAAATTAGCAAGAAGTGGAGGCTTTGTCTCTTTTGGTGAGGTCATTGCATCATACTCCAAGTATTCTTCTCTGCTTAATTAAAATATGAAAATGTTCCAGTGTGATACCCTTTTGACCCACATAGAGTTCTAAGTACTTGCTTTGTTTCCATTTCTTGGACAACTGAACCAAACTCTCTCCCAATTTTTCTTTGTCCTCCCTACATTGACAGAATATGGTGGGAATGCCAATGGCCAGCCTTGTGTCTTCCCTTTCAACTACAAAGGAGAGATGGTTACCACTTGCATTGATGAGGATGAGAAGAATGAGAAGAATGGGAGATTCTGGTGTGCCACTACAGAAAATTTTGATGTGGACATGAAATGGAGCTTCTGTGCTGATACACGTTTAAACAAGAAAAAAGGCAGGTAGCTCCAAGATATCAAGATGATGATAAATGGTTGGATTTTGGAACACAGTACAATTTTATTTACATTTACTTGAAAGTAAGCCATCCTGGGGCAGATTTTTAAACCAAAGGACTATTGGTTCAATCTTTTATGCAGCTACATTTTCTCTTTGCACAGGTTTGAATCAAATAACTATCCTTTACCTCTACTATATCCATTCAAAGTGTTATCTGCATTTAAGAATTGCTATGTCCCAAGCCTTTATAATGACACATTTAGTCTGATAGTCTAAGATAATAGATGAACAAAAAGTAATACTAAGGGTAATAGTGGGACTCCCAGTATGCCAAAGTTTTGGGTGTACATCAAATATTGCCAGTCTCTGATGCTGACTTGGCTGCTAGACACTGAAAGTCACAAGTGAATCCTTGTACTTTAGGCCAGTTTCAATTCTAGCACAACCACTTCATACCTTTTGCTTACTGATTCCACAAAAGAGAAATATAAACATTCTAAGAATATTGTCATTTAGGATGTTATTGTTACAAGCAAATATATTATTTAACTTTTCATCCAAAGTTGAGTATAAGATACGACAATTCATATCCAACTTGTAGTTAATAGTTGTGTTAATAGTTTCAGTCTTGAACTAATTACTTAACAATAAGATTTATTATTACTTTGTTTTTGTGTGTATGTTGTTAAAAGGAAATAGAAGATAGATAAAACAAATTAATAGAGTCTGAATTTTAAATTTTGCTTCTTGTTAATCATGGGAGAAAAATCACTAAGGGGGCTGTGTAGCACTTTGAAGTTGAAAATTAAAAGGATTAAAAAAAATGGTATACAAACCACCCGCCCACATCTCCTTAAAGCAGTCACAACTTTCCCCAAGATTGCACTACTGCTTTGCTGTAAAATTCTGAAAAAAAGAGATGGTTTAAGGAGCTGTGAATGGGAATTACATTTTTGCCATCAAGAACCTCACAGCTTTAAGTGAATATAGCATGACTGGAACTGCATTCCTCTGCTTTTAGAATTTGATCTTATGCTTTTTCTCTTTCTCTCCCACATACATTTGTCTTCAATAATTTTTTGAGAAGATGCGGAACCAAAAGAGCCCTGTTTTTTTCCTTTTGCCTACAAAAAAAAGGTTTACTCAGCATGTACAACCGATGGTACTTTAAGCTGGAAACTCTGGTGCTCCCTCACCGGCAATTATGATACAGATTACAAGTGGAGATACTGTGAGCCTTCAGGTAAGGACAGGAAGTTGGTGAAAGCAAAAGGCAGAGACACATTTATAATTGGTTTTTGTCATTTTTTTTTGCTCGCTTCCCTGGGACAGTTTTGTTTATATGCTTTTCTCTTCTTTTCACACACATTTTATTTTTTATTTAACAGATTTACCAAGTGAAGACCCATGAAGACTGAAACAAGTAACTAATAATCTGCCGCTTAGGTAGATATCAAAGTATTCCTTATTTTATTTTTGTTCAAAAAAATGTAAGAAAAGCCCTGTTAGATAGGCCAGTGGGACAGTCAATCCAGCAATCAGATCACACAGTCTGAATCACATAATAGGAGAATATTCAGAAAATTCCCATTCTTGGCAAAGGGACAATTATTCTTAGCAGCTTGTTATTTATAGGAATTTCAGCCAGCCAAACTGATGGACATTGATAGCTGATTATTTATGATATTTTTCTAGTTCTTATAAAAACTGCTCAACTGGTAGCAAATTGCTGTATCAAATCCCAGTTTAGCTATATACTATGTAAAATGTATTTATTTTGATTGGTCTTGAATCTTCAGGTGTTTGATTTCAGTGGATTAACCTAAGCTCTAGCATGGAGCGAGACAAGGAGAAAAACATCCAATTTCCCCCAATTTCTGCAGCATGTGTGATTTTTATACATTCTCTTCTTTTCTCCAAGCTGAAAATATTAATCATCTAATTCTAACCATTTCTATCCTAAATTTAGCTTGCAGATTGCCTTCTGCATAAGGATCACTACAAAAAAAAAAAAAAGCGCCCCACTTGTAGATTTAACACATAGAAGGGTAAATGAGGCAGAATTTGTAAGCCCAACCTGGTACTCTCTAGATATCAATATGGCATCCAAATGGAATCTTCACAAGGTCTATGTGATGATATAAGGACAGTCCAGAAAATACAGAATTTCATGCACAGATCTCAGAAATGGTGCTGTGGGCAGAAGGGGCACACAATGTTAGCGGAAGAGCAACTATGCAGAGCCCTTTCCTTTTCCACAAGGAAGAGACTTTTTGAAAAATAGTGGTAGAACTCTAAGATTACATTTAAGGATGCCATGTTTTTAATGCTTCAGTACAAAAGGAATGAGAAAGACTTAATTTGAAAAGAAACAAGGGAGATAAAAGATCTTTCTTACTGGCTTTTCTAGGAATCAGTAAAACCATTTTTATAAACCAAAAACCCAAAGCTAAAGACCTTCCCCATTAATTAAACAATAAAAACAAAAAACTTTTGTTTGCACCCTGAGTCTAAACTCTGGTATTGTATTTAAATATTTCTATGTTTGTTTCAATAAAGATGCACGTATTTAAACATTTCTCTCTAAAGGCATCATGCTCTACTTCCTATTATCTCCTTTCCCCCAGTTACTTTGGGGGGGGGGGGAACCAGAACATTATATTAAAACATATCAAGGAAACTTTCAATATTCAGTCACCAAGGATCCTGCTGAACGTTATCTTCCTATGTTGCCCAACTCCATAATATGCACAACTGGTGTTAATGATGTATTCTAGAAAATCTTTTACTTACAAGCTGGAATTTTACCAGAAATTATGGAGTGTTTATGGGATACGTCACTACCCTCACTTGCTTTACTGGTATTGTCCATTATTTGTTAGATGTGAATATATACATGAGTGTGATTGAACAATTTGCCTCTCTTTCCAGATTACAAAATCATCCAACCAATAGCTTGGACATCTGTGATTTCTACTACTCTGTGTTAATTTGGGAGCAGGATTTAACCCATCTATTTCTGATTCTAGTTTATTTTCATTGATACCACAAGTGAAATCTTTTAGAAGCCACTGGTCTGTATTTCACTCGGGATCTTGATGTTGTGGATGATTCACATCAGCACTAATAATATTTTCTTAGACTTTTAGTTATGTGAAGAGTAGTGCTTAAATGAGATTGAATGCTTGAGTGTGGGGTTCTGAATTAGACTTTGATTAATCACATCTAGCTTAACTTATAAAATAGATATAATACTTAAAATTAAACTCTTTATACTTTATATCTCCCTGCTGATGTGGTTATATGTCTGTGTATTTTCTATACATTTGCTTAATCCCCTAATGATTCACACATTATTTTTTAATCCAGCACATTGCTGGTTATTTAATTATTTTAAAAATATAACAAGTTTTTAAACCTTTGATTATACAGAAGAGTTTAAGGAAGGGGAGTTTGGCACTTCATGATATGTCAGAAGCTTGATTGGCATGTAGTTAGTAGTAGTAAGAAGGAAATACAGTAAATTCCTCCTCCTTCCTCCATAAGTTATAATTTCTGGCCAATATTCATTGGAGTAAACTGTTAAAAGCAAAGAAGTTTAGTTGGAAAAGCAAAGTAGCTTACATAAAATATTTTCGGATTACTTGGAAAAATACCTTTCTGTAAGCAAGAATTCATGGTTATCAAGAATTTATGATGCAATGGTTTGAAGTTCCGCATTTGAGGATAGTATATACAGTAACCTAACTCTTTAGGACATCTTAACCTCAGAGGTGAGGCAAGCACCCACTTCTTCTGATTTTCCGGAAGAGTATTAAGGTCTAAGAATGTGATGCAATGCTGGGGATGGCTGAAACTTAAAAGAGTTCTGAAATTTTAATTTTGATTTTTTATTTTTAACTTGCACATTTTAACTTGTTCTTAATCTTGTCTTTAATCTGTGTTTTTATTTAGATGTTTATACTGTTTTTATTATGCAGTAGTAAACAGAGTCACTTAATTGAGATAGGCGGTGTAGAAATTTAATAAATATATAAATTATATTATATAAATATATTATAAAAATTTATAAATAAAAAACATGCCTAAAGCCCTGACCCTGCCAGTTCAATTGGGGTTCACAGAGGAGCATGCAATCATAAGACTGGCTCTGAAACTCCTTTCCTGCTTTTTTAATTTTAATTATTTCATTCTTGTTTTTAACTGTCTTCTATTATAATATTTACCTAAACTTTTTTGTTTTATGTCCGTTTTTACACTGCCCAGAGTTGCTTTAGGAGGGAGATGGGTCATTTCTAAATGTAGTTAATAAATAAACTACTCCAAACATATTATATGAAGACCCAGGTCTCTGGAAAAGGTGAAAAGAAAGAGGATGTCCAGAAGCAAACTGGATGGACTCAGTTACCCTGGTGATGAGTACATCATTGAGTGACTTATAAAGAACAGATTAGGGGTAGATCATCATAGGGAAAATCTTTATGTATATGTAAAGTTGCTTCAACAGTGAGATAAGCAGTGTATAAAAAAGACACACATACATTTATTGACAGTTTTGAGACCAATGATAAGAACTAATGCAAACTAAAATAAAATAAAGATAAAGGGAGAAAAAAGAAAAAGCTAAAACTACATAAAGAAAAAGTAGAAGAAATAAGGAAAGAAGAAAACAAATATATAAAGCAACATACAGTATAAAAATGTGGCTTCCAATCTTTACAGTAGCTATAAGCACAATTATATTTTTATCTTTCTCAAGTTATATGTGACAGTCCTTTTCTATAATCTACCCTGCTATTCATCAAAATCATAAATCATAAGATTTTTTTTCTTTTTTACATAGTCTGACTAAGGTATCAGGCTAGGAACCAGGAGACTGGGAATTCTAGTCTTACCTTGAGCATGAAAGCTGGCTAGGTGACTTTGGACCATTCACGTTCTCTAAACCCAACTCTCCTTACAGTGTGCTTGTTGTGTGTGGGAGGAGGAGGTAGAATTCGGTATGTTCACTGCCTTGAATTATTTACAAAAATAATAAGGGCAGGAAATAAGTAAGAAGTTTTCAGGCACTAATAAATATAGATATTGTCTTTTCTCTCATAAAACAAATCAATTTAGCCATTGTGGCAAGTTCTGACACCCTCATCAAACATTTCTCCATTGTAGGTATTGCCCATTTTTTCCATCTTTATGCATACAATAATCTTGCTGCAGTTATCATATATAAAACAATGTTCCTTTATTCCTTTCTAATTGTTTATCATCAGCTCAAGAGAAAAAGCTCTCGTTTCCATTGAATGTTAGTCCTTAAAATCCTCTAAATCACTGTATGTATCTGAACCCAAAGGCATGCCAAAAACCCGTTTCTAGGAATTGAAACAACTTGATGGCACATAATAAATCAATAACTGACCTCACCTGAATTGCTTACTAGAAAATAGCACAAATTCTGTTTGAAATTCTCCATCAAATTAGTGGGTTATAAACTTGGATAATCTTTTTACCCAAAATTCCCCAGGGGGAAAATATTTTAAATGCTTTTCAAAATTTGACATTCTTCTTAGCTGTGACAATGGCACCAATCTTTGAAAAATAGTGGCCTTTTCCTAGTTGCAAGAATTACACACTCAAACCATGAAAATCCTTCAAAATTTCATTAATGAAATTGAATAAGAATTAAGGGAAAAAAGAGAGTATCTACACATAGGCACACAACTGGTTATAGAATGGATTAGAAAAAAGGAAAAAAAAATAGATGGAAAGATGTAATTATGAAAGGAAGGCAGCTGCTCTTTTACTGGTCTATTAAGGGGAGCAATGCAATGCTTACAATATGCACACATGTACGTGGGTAAACATGGAAGAGTTTATTTCAGAAGTTCCAGAAACGGTTGGAAAATGGCAAGCATACTCGCATCTGATCTTCCCCTTTCCCATGACATCTGGAAAAATCTCACTAGTTTTGCAGAGGAAGGATTCAGCCTACCTCCTCAACGCAGGGGCCAGGAGTCCTCCTCCTTTTGCACTGTATTTTTGTTTCACGGAAAACTTACGCAATCCCCTGGCCATCATGAAACATTATGTCGTGGGCCAACGCAATGTTAATGGATGGACTTATTCTGAGTCAACTTTTCCTTGCCTTGCCACTTACAAAAGTATAAAAAGCCTGCAGCGGGCACTCCAGAGTATCCTCCAGCCTCCCCGACGCAAGATGGACCGCCAACTTTTCAGCGCGTCTTTTCTGCTTCTTTTCCTCCTCATAGTCCTGGTTCCATCGACCGGAAACACCTTGCCCATCGAGAGTAAGCGGGCCTCACTTTTATAGTGGCTCTGCGAGCGAGTGGCCGGGAAACAAGCGGAGGCGCGACACCCGCTTTCGCTGTGCAATTGGCTCTGGTGCGCGTGGAACAGAGGCGGCCTCTTTCCCTTCTTTTCTCGAGTCAAGCCTGGGAAAGGCTTATTGGCTCCTTAGTTGAGGAAAGAAATGAAAGGAAAGGAAGCTCCACCGGCAAAGACCCCTGATCTTATGTGAGCTTGCTGAGGGAAAAAAAGTATTTAAAAGGAATATTAGTGTAGCAGATATTTTTTTTAAAAAAATCAGTAATAATAAAAACATTAAATATCTTCATTTTGTAGTAATAATAAGAATAACATTCAATTAGACATACTAAGAAGAGTTAAGAAAGCCATGATATGGCTTAGAAAGAGAGGATAAAATATAAATGCATTGTAATGCTGTAAAAAAGATCAGAAGCCACTCCTTTATCTTTATCGTCATCTGTCTTTTTTCTTTCCTTTCTTATTCACTTAATACTCTTACTTTTACAAAAAGTATTGTTTGTATTTTGCAAAAAACTTTTTAGTTTTTTTTAAAGAATAGCAAGAAATTGAAATGCAATGAAGTCATTTTAGAGCCTGAAGATACTCTTTCTTTATGCATTGCAAAAACTAACCAGGGTTAGTTTTTTTTCACATGCTTTGAATAGTGATGGATCCACTCTGGTGCATTTTGAGGGGCCTCCATCTCACTGCTTGAACCTCAGATAAACGGTCTCCAGGCTTAATATGTAAGGCAATGGTTGTGGAGCTAATTTGGATGTATGTCTAGCATTCAAGTTTTTCCTGCTTTCTTTGTCTCCACAGATAATGGATGTCAGTGTAACCCTACAACCTTACCTATCTCACCAAGAAGTATTAATTCTGTACATTTAATCCAGTCAGGACAACATTGCAGTGTTCTGCAAGTCATGTAAGTGTCTTCTGGCCTAATTATATTCCCTTCTTAAAAAGAGCGATGGTTATATGAAAGTGGTTCATTCATCCAGCCATTTTCTCTATCTTATCTATCAGAGCTACCATCAAGAATGGGACCAAAGTCTGCCTGAATCCAGAACTTCTATGGGTCAAGCGCATTGTCCAGGTTCTCCTGAACAGGGTATCTATTTTAAATATTCAGGGGAAGTGAATGGGTTTAAAGAACACTTCTAAAATAAAATGACATTACTGGATTTAATTGAAAATGGATATTTTATCTTTAAATAAGGCTGAGAAAGGTCCTTGCATTGCTCTTTGCCATAGTTAGTATCCTATTGGCCTGAGGCATCAGTTTAATTTGGTATCAGAACTAAAGAAGTGGTTGCAATAGTTTTCTTGACTTTGATTAAACCCAGACCTATAAGAAATCCTCTATTTATGATGTTCATGAATTGTTCAAAATGAAGAAATGAAGCAACTTACAATGCCTGCCCAAAATTACAGCCACTGCAATGCCCTTGAACAAAAGTTGAGTGATTGGCAATTACCATATTTTTCTGTCCATAAGACGCACCCTTGTATAAGACGCTCTGGCATGTGAGTTTCTTCGTGCCAATCAGCTGTTTGGCAGAGTGCCAAACAGGTGAGCCGGCTAATACCGGCCGACGATCTTGCCCCCTCCTCCCTCCCATTAGTGTCAAGCCCAAGGGGCTTGACACCTGCACCAGGCGACATGGCAACCCATACAGGCATGCCCTGGACTACGGAGGTTACCATTATTTTTTCGTGTATAAGATGCTGCACTTGTATAAGATGCACCTGATTTTTAGGAAAAAATAGTGTCTTATACACAGAAAAATATTATTTATTTATTTATTAAAATTTATAGACCGCCCCACTCCCGCAGGATTCCGGGCGGCTAACAATAAAAACACAATATAACATTAACTAAACAAACAATACAATAACATTCATCCAGGGGTCAGATTTTATAAACCCCAGGCCTGCTGGAAAAGCCAGGTCTTAAGCAGCTGGAAAACCAACAGGGTGGGAGTGGTCCTAATCTCTGGGGGGAGCTGGTTCCAAGATGTGGGCACCATCACAGAGAAAGCCCTCCCCCGCGGCCCCGCCAAATGGCACTGCTTGGCCGACGGGACCTGAAGGAGGCCCAGCCTGTGGGATCTAACCGGACGAAGGGAACTATGAGGTAGGAGGCGTCTCGCAAATAGCCTGGCCCTGAGCCATATAGAGCTTTAAAGGTAATAACCAACATCTTGAATTGGACCCGGAGACCAATAGGCAACCACTGCAGCTCACGGAGGATAGGTGATCACTCGCGCGGCTGCATTCTGAACCAACTGTAGTCTCCGAATACTTTTCAAGGGTAGCCCCATGTAGAGCGCGTTGCAGTAGTCCAGGCGTGAGGTGACAAGGGCATGAGTGACTGTGTATGGTAACTGAATATGGTAACCTGTCCTTACAATTGAATGCAGGAATGCTGCAGCAACCTGCTCACTTATCTTTTCCCAAGGCTTGGGCCTGTTTCTCACTCTGTTAAGTACTTACAGTTCTTAGGCTGCTTCCCAAGGGTCTCATACCCTTCTCCCCACCCCTCACTATAGTTTGGTCCACTTACTTTTCTGTAGATTTCCTTTGGAAAGCAGCCACTTTGTTATGTGGCCTTTCTACATAGACTAAATGACTTCTGGAAGGACAGCTGACTGATCCATCCCTTGGCCTGAGTACTGAATAGTGGCCAAGTGGCACTGTCCCAGAAGTGAGTGTCATTTTGGAGCAGCTTCCAAAATGAAGCCCACTTTTGGAGTGGTGCATATAATCTCCATGTAAGAAGATTGTGTGGTGAAGCAGCTGCTTCCTGAAGGAAATATGTGTAAAACGTAAGTGAGCTAAGCTATGACAGGTGAGGTAGAGAGTGTGGGACCCAGTTGGAAGTAGGCCCAAAGTCTGTGGGGACCCAGCAAGGCAGGAAGCCAAGCACAGTGTGTGGGGATGGCAGGCCACATTTGTGCTGGGATAGTGCTATACTATGGCTCTAGCTCTGTGTTTGGCCTCCCAGGGCCTTCCCTATATGAGGCACCCTATGTTCCACTTACCTATCTGCCTGGCGACTGGGAGAGCATGGATTGAGGAAATTAAGCTAGGTGCTCATATGCACACTTCCCTTAATCATGACTTATATTTGCAATGAGAAGACTCCCTGAATTAGCTACTGAATTCTGAATTTTATTTTATCTTGACTCTTGAGCCTTAATTTTTCTTAACTCATAGATCAATATTACCTGATCAAAATGACTAATTCAAATATGGCATTTGCACTGTAAAGTGTCATGAATTGGTTCAGTTTCAGCAGTACTTAAGCACAATTAATATGTAAATGAGCATAAATTATGGGAGTTATGCATATATTTATGCTTTGGTAACGTTTTTTGTCCAATATTTATATTTTGCTGTTTAAATCCACAGGAAAACAACTAACAAGCTATGCAAAATGGATGCAATGGAAGATGGGAGAAAGAAAAAATGCTAGAAAATTGCATAGAAGAAAGAAAGAGCTTGCTGCCGTTGTTGATTTTATAAGAAATCTTTCAAACGCTGTTTTCTTGCTTTGCATCATCATACATTAAATGTACAGCAGGTGGCAGCATCTAACTGATCTCTGATACTAAGTGGTACAATCCCTGATTGCTGCAGGATTATCTAGGTATTCCAGGATTGTTAGTAAGAGTGTGGAAAATCAGGAAAACAAAATAAAAACCACCATCATAGAAGGCTATAGTAAAACATTTCTGTAACCTTGTTAAGAAAATTGTGTTGATGTCCTCATCAGAATTGGAGCTGATTGTTTTGTATGCATCTTCATCTTTGCTTTTGACATTTTAATAGTTGCTTTTCTGGTTTCTTTTGAATTGGAGAGGAAAACATGTACAATAAATAATTTTTTTTCTTAATCTTAATTTGATTTTTGAGTTTGGGGATATATTTCTAGGAATTAAATGATATGCTAAATAAAAAAACTAAAAAAATACTGACTTATACAAGATATTAATATGAAGTAATTAATTAGGATTAGGCTCTTGGGGATGGGGTGACTGGTAATAACATGGGGAATTCTGATGCAACATTTGGAGTACTCTAGTGAATTTTAGTCAAACATTCTCCAAAGGTTTACCAAGAGCAAAAAACTGCACAGGATAGTTCCTCTATTATGAAAAAATTGCTTTAAAAAGCAGACTAGCAAGGAAATTGAACATAAGTGGCTTGGTCAATAAGAGCCACAGCAAGAACAGATTAGGATGGGATTTGAATGGAGGCCTTGGAATAGGTAATTGACGGTTAAGGCTAGGATTAGGCTTCTCTCAGCTGACAGCAAAAATTATAAAATGGTGAGTTTTTGTAAAAAGGGGAAAAATTTGCCTCTGCTTAATTAGGAGTCTTTAGCGTGCAAAGCAAATGATCTAGCCACCATATTACTGCAGAATATCAATTACACATAGTTTAGGGAACCAGAGCTGGGAACATGCGAGAAAAGAATTTTTCTTCTTAAGCTTGTTAACTGTGCATGCAGGCGTTCATTCTGATGCTTCAACTTGGTTAAGTTAAAGTTTATCTGTGCAATAAGATCCACCTATAGAAAGTAAATTGAAAATTACACCTGGGCATGCAGGAGAATTGTCTACTAGCAGCCTTAGGTAATCTAGACTGAACAGCTGACAAGCTGTACCAAAGCTCTCTGACTGGGTCATGGCTCAGTTGACATCAGTATGGAACAAGGCCAAGTTAAGGTGTGTCCTTCTTTCCCACTATTTGCTTGAGGAATTGTATTTATTTTCAGAGCAAATTGAAGATTGAAAGTTTAATGCAAGTTCACTTCCAAGTAAAAGGTGGGATAGAGCTTTAATTCTGCATTAATAAGATTCCCGATCTTATTATCAAAAAGGTTAAAGCATGGTGGCATTACATTACATACTATACATCTACTCGGTACCATATATTCATAGCCATTCAACAGGTAGTTTGAATCATATTAGCTAAGTATTAAGTGTAAATGTTATTTCTTCAGTGTCTGATTTATGTATAAACATCAAATGTTTGAAAGAAGTTAACTTTGCATTTCTCTTCCAGTTGCTCTGCATTAAAGAGGAAAAGATGGTTTTTGTCCTTATCTTCCTCTTCTGTGCTCAATTATCTTTGCTAATAACTAGTATGAATAAATAATGTTTCCTGAATTAGCTCAGCTTACTTTAACTTGTGTTCGTAGGATAAACCCATTTATCCTGAATGGACTACCAGCAAAACGAACATAGAATCTTATTTTGCTGCTGTTGTTCAAAAGAGAGAACAGGTAATTTAAGGATATAATCAAAGCTTCTAAAGTGAAAAATGTGGCAATAGTTTGTAGTAACAGCAATTTAGTCTCTTTAAAATTAGAAGGGTAGAATATACAATCTCATAGCTAATGTTTAAGGCAGCAGGCTGGAAACCAGTAGATTATGAGTTGAAGTCCTACCTTAGGCATGAAAGCCAAGTGGGTGATTTTGGGTCAGTCATTCTCTCTCAGCCCAACTAACTTCACAGGGTTGTTGTAAGGATAATAGGAGAAGTATTAGGTATGTCCAAGCAGAGGCTTGGATCCAAGTATCAATGCTTGAGTTAGTAGTCCAAGAATTTCAATTACTTATTCAGTAGTGAATGGGTCAAATAGTGAGACAAGGCAGTGGCTCAATTAAGTTATATGGATTTAGCTGGAGTCCAATTGGGGGATGGATCTGAATGACTTTTTCCAGAAGGTGTCTAGGATATTTTCCACAAAGGTCTCCCTCCATATTAGAAAGTGAATCATCGTGGAAAAAAAATACTGACTGGCTACCTACAGATGCAATAAAAGGAGAAAATAAACATGATTTGCCACTCTTTTTACCATAATGCACTTCCCCAAACAGATCTGGTCTCTCAATAATTTGGATAAATTTCAAACATCGATTCTGACTTCCCCATAAGTGTCCCACCCCCAGATTCCCACAATATCTCTCCCTGCCTGTCATGGCATCTCTATCATTAGTCTTCCCCCTCCTACCATTCTGAGCCAGAAGTAGTGCCCATCATAGAGTATTGGATAATGGAATGTACCATCTCCTTGTTAAAAGTAGGGTGCAGTTTTATTCCTGGCCTTTTTTTCTGGTGCATTGCCTTGTTCCATTCTTGCTTTAGACAGTAGCTCCTGAGGGAGCACAATTCTGAGACAGGCAGGCAGGCGAACAGACAGACAGATTCCTTACTTCCCTTAACACTACAGCGTAGATGTAGGTAAATGTGAGCTCAAATTGTGTATGGTTAAATTTACTTTCAAAATTTCTCTGTCAACATTTTAGGCATCTACCTCTGCCCTTTCATCTCTCTAGTTCAGACATGTCAAACTTGTGACATCATGTGACCTATCAGAGCTTTTCCTCCATTATCAGCAATGGGGTGGGCACAGTTTCCTCGTGAAGCATCTGCTCTGCAGGCCGGCAGTTTGACACCCCTGCTCCAGTTCTTGGGTAAACCAATACTTCCTCCTCTACCAGGTGGAGAGCTCAGGTGTAATCAAGTACTCTTATTATCTCAATGTTCCAGAGATCTCCTGAGCACTTGACAGAACTACCTATCAAGTTGCTGGGGAAATCTGCCAGAATTCATTAGAATTCAGTAGGATTAAAAGGATATCTGAAAATGACCATTTTGATGGTTCACTCATGCTTTGGAGTTTTGGAGTAGTGACTTTTCTCAATTATTAAGGGTGATCTAATCATAGCAAAAGACCCACCACAATGTTCCCCATCTTCAGATCAGCTACCAACTGCTCTGAGGTGAAGACCAAATCTAACAAACACCTGTGTGACTAAAGCTTATAGAAGCCTACCCTGGCATAGCTATTATGAATTCCTGAGATCCTTTGAAGCCCCCATTCAATATAATGATTGAGAGATGATAGAACTAATCCAGTGATGAGTTGCAGAAGCTTAAGAAAGCACCCTGTTATGCATTGGTTATATCCCCGACTTATTAAGAACCAGCTACAAACTTTCTATTATCAGTGAAGGACCTGCTTCCTCACTGATTTGCTGGAAGTCAATTAGAAAGAGACTTTGCTTTAGTGCAGGGGTCTTCAAACTTGGCCCTTTTATGACTCATGGACTTCAACTCCCAGAATTCCTCAGCCAGGCATGCTGGCTGAGGAATTTTGGGAGTTGAAGTCCATGCGTCATAAAAGGGCTGAGTTTGAAGACCCTACTTTAGTGTATAGAGGAATCTGTTGGTTTTAATCTGAAAATAATTGTTACTGGAATTCTTATAATCCATTCCATTCTTCTAAATACATTTCACTAAAGAGCATAAAAAAGGCTGATGTTGCATACATTAGTTTTGGATTTTGTAAGTTTCCTTTTTTAAAGAAGGATGTATTAGAAGATGAGCATTGTTATAATATTTGAGGAAGAAATATAAACCATGCTGATAATACCATTTTGATAGCTGAAAATGCAAATTATCAGCAGGCTGTAGTGATGAAGGTCAAGTAGTAAAGTAAAACATGGGATTACAATGATATATAAAGACCAAATAAATGATTAAGTGTCTTGTAATAAGGAAGCAAGGATAGGAAGTGTGAATGGTGGCAACAGTAAGGAATCCCTTACTGTATAGCAACAAAATTTACAATGAAGATATTTTAGAATTGACTATCAACTGTAAAGGAAAAGGTATAAAGGCTTTCAAAAATGTATTCAGAGATCTTGATGCATCTCTTACTACAAAAATCAGAATATGCAGACAATGATTTTCCCTGTGACATTCTTTGGAAGCAAAAGTTGGAAGCAAAGTGAAAAGGATCTTAAAAATTTTTGTTGATAAAAGATGAGAATGCAATGGATTTTCAAGAAAACAAACTAATGTATCACAAAACAAATCTAAATTGAAACTCAAATTGCCAGTATCAGATTATCGTATTTGTGATACATTATTCAAAGACCTCATTTTCTTGAGAAATTCATAATGCTGGGAAAATGGACCAACAGCAAGGTGGAGAGATTGATGATAAAGCTCATGATTACAATGCTGGGTAAATTAAGAAATTAGGTTGGGTCTGAGTAATTCTGGAGAAAGTCTATTTGTTTGCTATAAATCAATACTGTTAAGTCCTTGAAACAAAGGTGAAGGAATAACACACATCTCTGTAGAACAACATTCTTTATTGTACTTCAGCCAAAACTCCAACAATGAGTAGAGGCACGCAGGCCTCCTTTTATATGACCAGATCCCCGGACAACATGTTGCATAATAAGGCCCTTTTCACACCTTGCGCACATGTGCAAAGCCGGTGCCACTCAGTCTGGTCCCGGACAGCTTTTGCAAAGCCCGGGACCCTTGCAATGTCCTGAGCCTGCATTTGCAGGCTCAGGACACAACACCCCTGTCCCCTAGCTTGGAACACCCTGACAACCAAGCATGGAAGGGATTCCTTACTGTTGCCACCACTCACACTTCCTATCCTTGCTTCCTTATTAAAAGTCACTTACTGTATATTCCGGCGTATAAGACGACTGGGCGTATAAGACGACCCCCAACTTTTCCAGTTAAAATATAGAGTTTGGGCTATACTCGCTGTATAAGACTACCCCTCTTCCATGAGGGAGGGGGAAAGGGAGCACAGTTTCTGAGTTCTCATTGGCCACCTGTAAGTCCAAATGAGTAGCTCAGGGTGTGTGCGTGCACATGTAGGCATGCGTGTGACTCCCCGGGTCCCTTCCATTGCCCCCCCCCCCAGTAGCAAGCTTTGGCTTGGAGCAAGCAGGCTGCACACAGGGATCTCCTCCTCTCAGTCTTCCACCCTGCGAATCCTCCACAGCCTCTCCAAGCTGAGTGAGCAGAAAGCCTGCCTGTTTGTCAAAGGCTCTGCCTTGTCAATCGCACACACACC